AACATCAGAAACTGGGACTGGCCAGAGGAGGACAGATGGGCCCACAAGACTTTAGGAAAGCCCCAAATAAGTCCCATCAGTCCAACAGGTATTTATTAAGCCACTATATGCTAAGCCTTGTGCCAGGGCCAGGACAGGGACAGAGCAGGATTCCCTTCCTCAGTGAGGGGCTGTCTGCTCTTCCCTGCATCCAGGCTCCTTCAAGGATCCTAGCAGAGGAGTGAAGGTGATGCAGGGAGCATTAAAGGTCTTTGCAGCAATTCTTAAGTCCATCTGTGTCTCTGGCCCCACACGGTATCAGCTGCTTCCCTCATCCTCGTAGGCGATGGCAATCCCTCGTCTTCCACTCACAGCTCCTGTCACCGGCGTCTGACCCAGACGGGGCTCCAGCCCCTGCCAGCTCCGGGAACTAAGGAACAAGGCTGCAGAGAGAGGGGACTGAGGCCAAGTGGGCTGAATCTGGGGAAAGAGTTCAGCTGGGAGCAGAGACTTGGCACACTTACCTGCAGGGCTGCTCTCAGCCAGCTCTAGCTGGGGCCGCAAGGTCAGGGCCGAACACCCAGGATCATCTGATGGCTTCCACGCAGGTGGGGGTCGGAGTTCCCCAGTAATAAGTGACACATCTGGGGTGTCCCACAGTTCCGAGTCAGGTGGTGGGAGGGGCACGTGGAAGGGAGAGCCTAGGAGGGAGAAAGAGGATCCATACTGGCCCAATTCCATGCCCCTGAGTTTCCAGCTCAGGCAGTACCCCAGCACTCACCAGGCAATAAATCCGCATAATGTGTGAGATGGGGAGCCAGGCCTGAAGGTGGCCAGGCGGGGTTGCAGGCAGCTTCCAGCTCACATGGTGCCAATACAGGCCGGAAGAAGCCACCAGAAGGCTGTGGAGCTAGAGCACCAAGAGGGCAGGCCAACAGCACAAAGACATCCACCTCAGGGAAGTTGGCGAGCTTGGGAGGTGTGGGCCGCCCCAGGGCCAACACATAGCTACGCTTGCCTGCAGCCTGAGCCAGGTTCCGCAAGTGTGCCAGTGCCTCACGGTGTCGGGCCACACCCAGTGTCCCTGCCAACAGCCCTACCACACGGGCATCTCTGGCCCTCTCTACCAGATAGTGTCTACGTGCCCTTAGCCGCCCAGCCCGGACACCTTCATCCTGAGTCCGCCCTGTATCCGGGCAGCAGGTGAAGAAAGGCTGCCCAGGTGCCCAGCCCAAGAGCAGCCGGCTCAGGTCTGGGTCAAGATCAAGGTCAGTACTGGCTTCAGAGCCCCCCACATAGAAGGCACCATATTCTTCCAGACACCTCCCTGGAGCCAGGGGGAAGCGGCGCCCAAAACGCTCCAGGGGCTCAGGCTCCGGCCTACAGGAGCCCACTGGCAATGGAAGAGCTGGGCTGGAGACAAGCAGGTCCAGGTACCGCGGGCGCAGGAGAGTGGCCAAGGCCTCTGGAAGAAGGAAGTGATGTCAGAGTTGGGGTCTACCAAAGCAGGAATCCCTTCACCCCAGGAGACTGAATGTTACCCAAAAGCAAAGACTGGGATCAAGCCCATGTCAAGAGCTCTATGGGAGTGTACTGAAACGGGACTATCAAGGCACAAAGTAGTTGGCCTACCCTTCTTGCATGCCCAGGCAAAAACCCTCACCCAAGGCGTGGGCACAGCCCGGCTCACTTAGCAGCACCACAGGCACTTTGGGGTCTGGGTTCTGGGCCTCAAAGGCCTTGACACAGAGCTCCAAGTGCACAGAACGTTGACCAAGGACGAAGGCCACAGGCAGCGGGCGGGCTGGAGGGCTTAAGCAGGCAGGGCCAAAATGTACAAGGGCCTGAGCTCCAGCTTGCTCAGCACCCAGTACATCCACACAGCAGCTGTAGGGGAGATACCATTAGTGAGAAGAGTTCTCATCAGGAATACAGTTGCTGTCCTTCATGGGAAATGTGAAGCCTGAAATGTGGTCAGTGAAGTAAACAATGTTATAAAAGAAGACACTGTCATTCAGAGGAGCAAGTATCAGAAGAGGAGGCATCATCATCAAGGAAAAACACAGCCACTGGGGGCAGACACTGTCATAGAAGGAAAACACCAAGAACCTTGGATCACTAAACCTACTCCCCACCCCCTACCCCCGCCCCCAATCCTCAAGCTCAAATTCATACCTTCCATAGGCCGTGTCGCCCAGAATGAACATCTTCGACCCTGTGGTCCCCTCCAGTCGTGCAGCCACGGCCCCAGCATCTCCCAATAGCTGGTCAGGGAACTGCAAGGCCACCTGTAAGTATAAGCCATACAGTCAGGAACAGCCTCTCTCCTCCACCCTCTTCAAGGAAAACCTTCCAGAAGTCCCTATCTAATCTTCAAAGCTCCTCCTCCCAGAGGAGCAACTCCCCACCGTCCACCCCCACCCCACCCCCATCCTCACAAAATTACCCCAAGATCCCGATCTTCTGGGCGACCCATCCCGAGGTGAGCCACCCCTCCCTAACCTGCCCTCACCCGCCGACACCGCAGGTCGCGGACAAATCCAGCGACTCGCTCCAGCTCGTAGACGCGGTCCAGGTCCTCCGGAGGAGTGAGCAGCCCCGCGGCGCCCGCCTCTCGCTGCAGCGCTGCCTCAGCGGGGCTGCTGAACGTAGACTCCATGAGACACCGCTTGGGTGGCGGGAAGCAGCGGGGACCTCCCTCGGTCAGCTTCAGGCCCCGCGTTCTCAAAAGCAGCCCTCAATAAGTCAGAGTCACTTAGTGAGAGCAGCGGGGCTGGCAAGTCAGCGCGCAGCCCTCGTACCATCAGTGCACGCACCCAACCTCGGGTTTCTCTGCTTCACCACTACACACGGGCCTGCGGGGGATTACTTCCGGGTTTTTGAGGCGGGGCTGGCAGTAGTTTTGCCAATCTCAAACTAGCACTGCTCTCGCCTTCCAATCCTCGCCAGGCCGCCCTCAGAGAGCCAATGATCTGCCTCAGAACGCAAGTCAATCAGGAGTACCTCAGAGGAAGGCGCGGAGCCTTGTGGGTGTTGTAGTTCCCCTGGCCCTCTTCTCCAGCCGCTAGTTTTCCTGTTCAGCCCGCCAATCACGCTCAGAAAAAGTGACACCCCCCCACCCCAACCCCCGTGCCTGGCTGGCTGTCAGAAGAGCATGTGACTCTTGATCGCAGCGTTGTGAGTTGGAGCCCCACGTTAGGGGTAGAGAGTAAATAAATACACTTAAAAAAAAAAAAAGCGACCCCCTGAAGATACTTGTTTGAGCAGCTCCCATCGTGGTATACTGTTAAGCACTTCATAGCACTCTATCATCTAGGAGGTAGCATTGCATAATTTTCAATTCAGGTGTCAAACTGCCTGGGTTTGGATATTGTGCTCTGCCATTGCTACTTAACGTCTCTGTGGCTGTTTCTTCATCTGCAAGGTAGGGGTTGTAACAAGAGCATTCCTAACAGGATTGTTGAATCAAATTGATTTAGATATAAAACTTTACAGAGTAGTCCTTTGCATATCATATATACTGAAAGCATTCGCTGTTATCCTCACAGCAGTCTGTTAATCACGTAAATATTGAGCACTTATTGTTCACCAGGTACTACATTCTTAATGTTAACAGTCTTTGGAGTAAGACTTATCCAAGAGCGCCTGGCTTGCTCAGTTGGCAGCGCATGGGACTCTTGATCTCAGGCTTGTGAATTTGAGCCCCACAGTGGGTATAGAGATTACTTAAAAAAATAATTGTCCCATTTTATGGGTGAAGACACTGAGGTCCTAGTAAGACACAGCAAATCAGTGGCCCAATCAATAACAAACCCAGATTTGACTTTAGAAACTAGGCTTTAGCTCCCTCATTTTCCTAGCTTATATATGCTACATTTGATCATGGGGGATGGGGAAGAAGACACTTGGATACCATGTAGTAGGAGAAAAGGACTAAAAGAAACATCTCCACATACTTCAGGAGTAGTGAGAAATCAAGAGTGAGAATGGGACTGAAGAAGAGCCTCGGGATGGCATATGAAACAGGGACTGCTGCTGGCTGGCATGGAAAGAGAATGAACGGGGATGTACCTCCATTCTTGTGCAAAGATGGGGAAAGAACAGGGGGAGGAGTGAGACAAACGTGGGAGTAACCAGTTCTATCACCTCCAAGGAGACACAAGGTTCAGGAATGGCAACGGGGAGATCTGAGCCCTGCTCTTCAGATCTTACTGAGGAGAAGGCTGGGGTGTCTACGAGGCAGCATCTGTGGAGCTTTGGCTGAGGAGACAGAAAGGGAGGAAACCTTGCTAAGGGAGAAGAGCAACAGCCGCCCAGGAGCTGTCCCTGGTCCTGACTGAGCCCTGATCATCAACAGCCGGTCAGGTACCACAGAGGTGGGGAGCTCTGGGTATGAAGACAGCTCTAGGTCCTGCGTTCCTCTTCCTCTGGGGGCTGCCACGCTTCCTCCCACACATGTTCAGCCCCACTTTCTATACCTTTCCTCAACCATGTGCAAGTTTAGCCTCCATAAACCGACATAAGAAACCTATCCTGGGACTTAAAATCACTCTCCATTTCTTCCCTCCAAGCCAGACACTGCCCCACCTCACTTCCAGCCAAAGGCCCCAAGTCCTCTATCTAGGAAATCTTCCATTTCCATCAGAAATGAAAGTTCTGGGATGCCTGGGTGGCTCAGTCAGTTAAGAGTCTGCCTTTGCTCAGGTCATGATCCCAGGGTTCCCGGATTGAGTCCCACATCAGGCTCCTTGCTCAGTGGGAAACCTGCCTCTCCCTCTGGCTGCCATTCTCCCTGCTTGTGCGCTCTCTCTCTCTCTCTGACAAATAAATAAATAACATCTTTAAAAAAAAAAAAAAAGAAAGAAATGAAAGTTCCTCCATGCAGCCTTCCCTCACTGGTCCCATTCTCCCAGCTTAACATGGTGGCTATGGACTAGATCAGCCTTTGTTTGGAAAGAACAAGGCAGAACTAGGGGGCTAGTACTCAGCATGGTTGATTTAATAAATGTATGCATGCAGGAATGCTGGGACTAATTTAATGGGTGGTGGGGGAGGAGATTGCTGATACTACTGCAGTCTCACTCCAACCCAAGGGAAATGGCAGTATTATAAACGGCTCCAGCCTAGGAGGCTTGGCTACAATGGACCCCTTCCACCCTAGGAGCTAGAATTTGGGCCCACAACTCCCTACTAAGGCCTGGATCCAAACATCCTCCCATCCTTCCCCCAGGCCTTCGCCCAGTTAGGTGGTGGTGGCAGAGGAAAGGAAGCCAAGACAGCAATGCAGTGAAGATCCAGGTTTACTCTTTGGGGATAGGGAGGGGTGAGGAGGAGGTGTGGGTGGGACGGGGGCGCCCCTCAGTAGTCAGCTGTATAATCTGTGCCATGCAGCCCCCGGCACAGCAGTGTGAATTCCTTCACCATCTCCTTCACCCGCCTCTTGTTCACTCGCTCACTGAAGAAGGGAAGGGAGATCAGGTTAGTACCATCCACCACCACCGGCCCCTCCTCTGGACCGAAGCCCAGGCCCCGCCAGCTCTGCTCACCGAAGGATCTGCTGGCTGAAGGTGTCCTTCTGTTCAGGGCTGAGGCGGGCAGAGGGAAAACCAGGTGGCTGCAGTGCCTCCTTGATCCACATGCTCAGGAGGCTGAAGCAGTGTTTGTTCAGAGCAAACAGGATGTCGGCAAAGCAGTCCATGAGGCTGCGGGAGGCCTGGCCCCCAATGGCCTGAGGGAGATGGGTTCTCAGCACACCAGGGCCTTGCCCCTTTTGCAGCAAGGGTGCCTAGGCACACCCCACCCACTCCCGGACAGTTCCTCAGCCAAACTGCACATGACAAGTGAGTGCCGTTTTCTGAGAGCCGGCTGATCCTCACAGCAACCCTAACAACTGTCAGCCATTTAACTGATGAAGAAACAGAGTCAGAGAGTTTAGGGAACCAAAGGCTCAAGCTTCCCAGAAGGGCAGCTGCCTCCACGGTGAGGGCCACCCCACCCCCCTCCAACACTGGCTCCATCTCACCTCCAGCACTGCTACGAGCAGCATACGGCCATCCTCTTGAACCACTTTCCCTACAGGTTCTACTTCCCCACACCGAGGCAGCAGCTCTGTCTACAGAGGATGGAGAGGCCTGTCAGCCTCAGCTCTTTCCCCACTCTCCTTGGGGACAAGACCGGCACACCGCACCCCTACCCTCTGGAGTCCTGAGCAGGGCAGGGCTGGGTATAGGGGTGGTAGGGGGTCAGGACTCAGCATGGGACTCACAAAGAAGCCACAGGAGGCCTTGACGGTAGGTGCCTCAGGGAACTTGAGGGCCAGCACAGCTGTGGGAGAGGCAGAGGCAGATCAGATGGGGCCTAAGGATCCTCCTGAGGGGGCCCCCAGGCCCTCCTGTCCACCTGGCCCCACTTACCACAGTGGAACACAGCTTTGACATCCAATCGCTCACACAGGAACAAATCTGGCTTCCGCTTCAGAGCCTGCAGGAGGTGGAGCTGGTAAGCCCAGCCCCAACCAGCTCCAAGGACCATCCCCCCTCACCCCCCACTCACCTGCCACCCCAGGCCCCAACTTCACACACCACAGGTTACGGCTGCCAAAATCAGCCACCCAGCCATCTCTGGGGGACCCAAACCACCCCACAGTTCAGTCAGTCAGGAGGGGAGCAGCCAGGGGATGCTATGTACATGTATGTGTACATGAATGCATTGGTGTGTGTGAGAGGTTGGGGGGGGTGTCACAATATAGAAAGCTTGGGTCCCAAGTCACTCCCTGAGCAAACACTTTTATTCTCCCCTCCATCGAGGCCAGATCTCCTGCAGGCTCCAGGTAACCAGCAGAGACTGCTTTGATTCAGAGGCAGTCCAAGCCCCCTGGATTTGTTAACAGGACAGCAGGAAGAAGAGATGGCAGCTGGATGTGGAGCCCAGTCCAAAAGCCCCCCTCCCACATCCCACCTGCATTCCTCAGACACCCTCTAGTTTAGAAAGAGGAAAAGTAGGGTAGGAGCCTTGGAGCCATGGCCCCACCATTCAGCCAGGATACCCTGTGTCCAGGCCCCTTCTCAGCCACACCCAGCCCAGGAGTCAGTGCTGCCATGTGGGGGGAATGGAAGGAGTACAAGGGGCAGAGAGCCCACCCCAAGTGGTACCAGGACACAAATGGCACATCCTCAGGTCACAGGAGACGCTCTGCACAGCTCCAGCAGTCATCAAACACTGCTGCTCCCCAGCAGCCCCCCAGCGCATACCAGGTAGACCCCTAACCCCCCAGCCCCTTACATACCTTCCACTCCCCCAGGTTCATTCATGTGCAAACACCCCCACACGCACCCTCTCTGGGAACACCCTACTTACCCTCAAACACACCTCTATCACATCCCTTATACATACTTTCCCACTTGTGCAACACACCCTGCTACATATTCACATCCCCCAACCTCCCCACAGCCCCCAGCCATGTCTACATACTGACACCTTCAAGCTACCCAGTCCTCCAGCATGGGTACTCTCCTGCCACACCCCTCCACAAACACACATGCAGGTGCCCTCACCCCCGAGATGCACCCTCACGGATACCCACACATGTGTCCATCCAGGCCCAGAACACACTCCTTATTCCCTGCTCCTCCTGCGCCCCACCCCCTCTACTAGACTTAAGTTCCAAGAGAGTAAGAACTGTGCCTGCTTCTGCTTACCATTACATCCTCAGCATCTAGCAGGGTACCAAACATGTTTTATGCACTCAATAAATATTTGTGGAATGATTAAGCAAAGAAACACATCATTTACCCCAACCCACAGGAACCTTCCAATCACCCCCACACTAAACCCATGTCCCCCCAGCTCAACACATGTATCTTCTACAACCTACATCCCCTTACACAGACATACTGATACCACAATATATACTCCTCCATCAAAATACACGTTCCCACAGCCCAACACACACACCTCCAACACATATCACTGTCCAAAACCCATCAATGCCTAATGCACATCAACATACAACATGCATCAATGCACACGCCCACACTTCAACTACACATCTCTCCCAACACAACACACATACCGCTTAGAGCAGCTACGTGATTTCTGTTTCCAGACCAAACTAAAGTCAAAACACACAAATAAGGTCCAGCATACTTAAACACACACCAAACACAAACGCATCCCAACGCAGTCTCACAATGGAGCCAGCACCCCGCCTCCCAGCAGCAGCAAACCCATCTGACAGCCCGACTCAGGGCTCCACCCCAGCACATTCATCTTTAGCCCCTCCCTTTGGAGCTCCTCCCAGCCACCTCTCCAGAGCAGGCTGGGGGCACTGAGGCAGGCAGTTCCCGGCAGGAGCACGGGGACAATGAACCCCAGGCCCTTTAACTCCAATCTTACCCCAGCTGCACAGGAGCTGCTGGGCACAATTACTCCCCCTCCCCCACCCAGGCCAGCCCAGCTCCCTCCCTTCAGGATCGCCTCTCCCTGGTCTTGGTGGAAGAATGAGCTAGTTGAGGCAAAGGGGCACTAAAGGAGGATGTTGGGTTGTCAACTTCCACGGAAACAGATGAAGAAACTCTATTCAACTGAACAGAAAAAAAATTTGTCAACAGAAAGCTAAAAATAGGCTTAAATTGAATTTCAACATAAGAGAAAGAGAAAGAGAGAGAACAGAACGTGAATGAATAAAACTAAAACACACCTGTGCCAGGAGTTGCATAAATGAATCAACAATATCAGGATGATCCCTGGGCCCTAAAATATAATAAAGATGGAACTTAAGAAAAAATTATACAAACAGCAACTCAACCTCATATAGTTATGTGGGACTGAGAGCCTGCAGGGAGACAGCGTGGGGGCACATGAGCAGCAGGAAGCAAGATAAAGAAACAAAACATACAAAAACCATGAACTGGGAGAAGCCCAACAGAAAGAGACGGCAAAGTGAAGGACGGGCCTGCCCCAGCTCCCTCCCGAGGGGCCTTCCATCTACTCCCCACTCCTCCTCAGGCCAGTCCCCCAAGTGATCCTTTGGTGCTAGAGCAATGTTGGACTCCACAGAGCTGAACAAACAACCCCCACAATCTTGCTGCGGCCTCTGGCTGGCTGGGGTGGCCCTACACTGCCTCCTAGCACATACCTCCCCAGCATTAGCCATCAAAGAGGAGGGCAGGGCTGGTGGGAGGTCAGTCCTTGGTAACTCCCACGGACGCCTGGCTGAAGGCCCCGGAAAGGAGAGGGCATCAGGGCCTGAGCAGGTGCCCTCTCACTTCCGTGGCCTTAGGGCTCCTTTCCCAAGGAAAGGAACCTCTTGGGTCCACTTAAACCAGAGGACTCCTCCTTGGCTAGGGCAGAGCCCAATATGCTATGGGGATGGCTGGGCAAACCACCAGCAGGGTCTGGGGGAAGAAACTGTACCATGAGGCCCAAAATGAGAGCCCCACCCAGCAAAGTCCCTCCACATGGACACCAACTCAGCAGAGAGCCAGGCTCAGGGCTGAAGACCAGCTCCCACCATCTGGACACACAAAGGAAGAGGGAAACCAGTCCACATGTCACCCCATGGTGCAGTGGGAGGGCCGAGGCTGAGAAAGGAATGGCAAGACTGGGACAGCATAACAGGTAAGGGGGCCATCCTGACCTGCAAGACAACCAACAAGGCCAACAAATATGATTGCTGTTGGACACTATTCTGCCTCCAGTGCTCTTGCCGCCTGCAGCAAGGACAAGGCGTGTGTCTGGAGCTCCTGCTTGGGCTGCTCCACGTTGAGGAGGAAGTGCTGCACAAACATCTGTCTGAAACACCACTAAGGAGCTGTGTGATCTTGTGCAAGCCACAGATGCCCAGTTTCCCCAACTGTAAAGGAGATAATGATCTCCCTGCCTCCCTCTGCAGGCTATGAGGAGCCACCGAGAAAGCCCATCTCCTGCACACCTGAGCCCCGAGTCACTCAAGTCCTGGAAAGTGAGGCCCAATGTGCCCCATGCCTGGGTCCCCCTGCGGACAGCATGTTCGACATTCAGCAGCCACCCTGCCAGCGGTGGGCCCCAGACGGTGAGGAAGAAAGGTTCCGAGGGCAGGAAGACCTCACCCTCCTCTCTTCAACAGCGTCTGATACCCGCTCTATGCTGGCCTTGTTCTGGGCACTGAGCAGGCAGAGAGAAGAGACTCAACCCTGCCCTCGAGGGGCTTAGTCTAGGGAGAGAGACAAACACACGAAAGATTACTGAGTAGGACTGGTGCTGTGTCAGCAGTGTGTACATGATACAGTTTCAGCACAAAGTCAGAAACACCCAATTCTGCCCCAGAGAAGCTTCTGAGGACTGATGCATGGATAAGGCATGGAGGAGTGAGAGCTCACCCAGTAAAGGGCACAGGGCATTCCAGTCAGAGGATCAAATGGGACACAGGAAGGGAGAAGTCAGTGTGGCTGGACTGCCAGTATCTCGGGGACCCTGCAGAAGACACTGAGGAGCATGCAGGAGCTGCAACATGTGGGTGGGAGTGGGATGAGAACCTGAGGCAATGGAGAACAATGAAAGGGTTTCCAGCCAGGGAGGGAAAATACTCAGATGTGTGTTTCCTAAAGAACATTACAACTGCAGGGTGCAGGAACAGCCTGGGGAGAAGGGCGGATGTCAGGGAAAGCAGTTAGAGGACTGTTGAGGTGATCCAGACACCCCACACTGAGGTGTGGTCATGGAGGGAGGGGAGAGGTAGGCAGACTGCGGGATAATCAGGAGCCAGGACCACCCAGACTTACCCCCGACTAGATATGAGGAGTGGGAGCGGTGGCCACACCCGGTTTCTGGCTCAAGTTTCTGGCCACTGTGCACCTACCCATGGCCCACTAGAGCAGAGGCCAGCATCATGGGACCACACACTGAGGACATAGGCCGAGAGTGCTCTGGCTCCAGCTGAAACCCCTGGTGAGCCCCCAACATGCGACCACAAACCCAGGCAAGACTCATGAGGCTGGTGAGCAGCGCCGTCTCTTTTCCAGGTTAGAAGCCTGGGTTAGACAGCGGGGGAAGCCTGGAGCCCCCTGCTCCCAGCTCTCTCAGGCAGAGGGCCACAGAGAATAGAGCGCTGGGGCCACAGCCAAAGGGTTTCGGCCTAGAACGCAGGTAAAGGAACCAGCAATCCCTGAGTACTTCATGTGCAAAAACCCCAAGCCAGGGGACCAAAAGACACTACTTTTATACCTATAACAATCCTATCAAATACATGAAATCTCCATTTCACAGACATGGAAACGAAGGCTCCACAAAGGTAAGTGACTTGCCCAAGGTCACACAACTAGTTGGTGGTGATGAACTTAGAATCTAGGTCTATCTGACTCCAAAGCCCATGCTCTTTCCCCTTTTCATTATATCCCAAAGAAAAGGAGCCAGCCTAGTGCCCCAAGTCCCTCAGAGCTCTGGCCCCACCTTCCCCCACATCAAGACTGGCCCTGAGCCCAGCAGGCCAGCAGAAGACATCATTCACTCTCTTATCCACTTCAACCTAAGGTGTCAGCTATTTGTAGGGTGACAATTGTGCTGTGCTTGATCCCGTAAGTTTCCCATCAAGTCCCATGTGCAACTCAGGGGACAGAGGAGAACAGAGTGGGCAGCTTGGGCTCCCCAGTCGGGGAAGCAGAGGCAGTGGCAGTGGCGGCAGCAGCAGAGACCCTGGTCAGGACCTACCTTGCTGGAAGAGAGTGAGTGTCACGGAGGTGACGAGCAGGAAGAGGGCCTCGATTGGGGGAAAGTGGGCAGGTTCATGAGCAAAGATGTGGACCAGCTACAACAAAGCAGGGAATGCCGGTCAGTTGAGGCCCTGTCTCACCAAAAACTGGCCAGCATCCCTGAAATGCAGGTCAGAACCCCTGCCAGGGCAGCCATTCACCCCACTCTACCCACGCACCCCATCCCTGGGTCAGATGAAATCTAGAACACTGCTGCCTCAATCAGAAGGCCCACCTGTCGAGTGAGGTCAAGAGCAGAGGCCTGGGGGATGGTGCTGTACATCCGACCCAGCATCTCACACAGCTGTGGCACCATGGGGGCAAAGTCATCCAGCAGGGTCTTAACGGACTTCTCAAAGATAGCGCACACCGCCTTGGGAAGGAAGCAAAGGGGCCCATGAAATCGACAGCAGTATTATGATCATCAAACTTGCCAGGAGACTAGATCTTAATTATTCCAACCACTAAAAAGAAATTATAATTATGTGATGTGATAGGGGTGCTAATTATCATACAATGGCAATCACATTAGAACATAGAAATGTATCAAATCTACATGCTGAACACCTTAAATTTATACAATGTTAAATATCAAATATATTTCAATTAAAAAGAAAAAAAAGAAAGAAAAAAGGCAGAAAGCAAAGGTTAGCAGGTCACAATCAGCTGGAACAGAACTGAGGCCCTGCACAGAGGAGGCCTTAGGAGGGACATTTACCTATAAGCCTGGCCTGGCCCTGCAAGTCAAGGAGGGTAAACAAGTCTGACCCTCACCCTGAAAAGCAGGATGCAAAAAGGCCCTTCTCAGAGGGGCACAGGATGGAACTTCGCAACTCAAGTCTTGCTACTTACATCTCCACCATTTCCTCTCACAGAGCAGCAATAACAAGAAAATCCTGAATTGAAAAGGGACCAAAGGCAGGAAGGCAGGTCTCTGATTACAAAGTGGACCCCTCACTGTCACTCAGCCACAACATTGTAGTTCTTTGGTCAAGCACTTTTTGTGACATTGGGAAGTTCTGAATGTCTTCCCAAAAGATTCCTTGTACCTGTGGGGCAAGATTCACCTCCTTTATTTCCTCCAGACCATTGAAAGCCGAGATGGGCAGCAACACCTTCCTCCTGCTCCATATCTAAGCAAAGTCACCATGGGGGTAGAGAGCAAGGACTGAGGCTCACCTCCACCACCTGGGCATCATTCAGCCATTTGCTCAGCACCTTCTGGATAAGCTGGAAGACCTGCTGCAACACCACAACCACCTGAAGACACAGGAAGAAGTGAGGTGTCCCCACCACCACTCTCACCCACCCAAGATGGACATGGTAATACAAAGCAGGCCAGAAGTTCAAACCTATTACCCCAGACTAGACATTGAGGACTCAATGGGTGGGACCTTGGGGGAAGGAGTGAATGAAAGAGGATATCCTGAATTTTAAGGATCATTTTAGACGAAGCCTCAAAGTGCAAAGCAAGGATATTATGAGGGCTTCAGAAAATTACCAAAACTTTGTAACCTTTAAAAAAATCACTCCCTATCCATTTCTTCTCAGAAAAATCCTTTTAGTGCCAAAAGCCTACGGGTTAGTGCCTGAAGAAGTAGAGATGCTGTGTCACACAAACAGGCCTAGGGTGGAGAGCCCCAAGGGATGCACATATATGGCAGCTTATGGAGGAACAGAGAGCAGACTGAGATCCTGGGAGGTGAGGGAAGGCAGGCCAGTGACTACCACGGAAGGAGAAGGGGCTCTATTGAAGGATGTTGGCCCAAGTTTGGTCTAGAGCCAAAAGGGCACCTGAAACTAAGGTGAGAAATTGAGGAGAGGAGCCAGGATACTGTGGCTTCCTTTTCTCCAAGAGAAACCCTGGGAACAATGATCCAAGTCTCTCACATTTATACAGAACTTTATAGTATGCAAAGTACTTTCACTCAAGACCACATATGCTATCCAGCACGGCTCTATGAGATGTGCAAGCTAGATAGTCTGACATCCATAGTTTTGAATGGGAAGCTGAGGCTGGCCCCAGATCAAACAGCTTGTAAGTGGTCACCCCAACCCCCTGTGCCTAAGGTTACCACAGTACTTGTCACACTGCTTTGTGACAATCTGTTTACATGGATTTCCTCTAGACTGGGAGCAACTCAAAGGCAAGAACTATTAAACGTAGAGCATGTAAGTATCCCCAGTGCCCACAGGGGACAGTGAATAGTGAAGTAGAAGTTGGGGGTTAAACAGGGGCCCATAATTACATCACTTAGGAGGCTGAAGGATAACGCCAGTGTCCCCCACGGGGCAGAGGAAGCACAATGACATCACCCCGGTTGGGCTGGAGACAAAGACAACATCACCCACAGGGTTGGATGAGACAATGACATCACTCCCTACAGAGTGAAGGGCAATGATAAGGTCATTCACAGGGTCAGAGGACCAAATGCATCATGCCCCACGGGGCCAAGGGAACAATGACAATATTACCCATGAACTTGGGAAGAAACAATGACATTCCCACAGAGTGTGTGGTGGGGGGGCACAATGGCAACATCACCCACAGGGTTGGGTCCCTGCGGCACTGGCAGCTTCCGGAGCTCAGGGCCTTCATGGTCATCCTCATGATGACTGACATCCAGCGTGGTGAAGAGGTTAGAGAGAAGCCCCAAGATGTGGACAATGGCCAGCTTGTTGGAAGGATTAGGCTATGGAGAGAATCAAACCAAGCTCTGGATCTCCCAGCCCCAGCTTGACCCCTGACCCCAGCCCTGACTGCCAACTCTAACCCCAACCCCCAGCAGCCACAGCCCACACAAAGAGAAGCCCAACCCTGCCCTCTGGCCACACACACACACACACACACACACACAGACCAGGTCACTCACTATCTCCTCTGCTAGCTTCTCCAGCTGCTGGATATAGGGTGAGATAAGTGAGTGCAGGTTCTTAAGGATCTCCTCCACCTGCAGGGCTGACAGCAGGAAGCCCAGTGCCTGCATCAGCCACATGCACTGGCTCGTCTGTGGGGCAGAACATGGAGAGTCAATCCTGGACACATCTGGTCGTGGGTAGGAAGAATGAACCTCTTGCGGTAGGTCCCAAGAACAGAGAATAAAAGACAAGGGGTAGGAAAAGGCAGCAGAGGATTTCCGTAGATTTCCACAATATCCCCAAGGACCCCTAGAAACTTCTGGGCTCACCTTGTGGATCTGTTTCATCAACACATCCTGGAGATAAACAGAAGGAATATGGGATCAGTGGAGTGCAATGTGCCCTGAGACCCAGCCCCACCTAGGCCCCCGCATACCTGGGAGACAGCCACGATGTTAGCAGCATAGGGTGGCAGGTCATACTTGCATTCTCGGCAGATCTTCTTGAGGGTGGACACAGAAGAGACAGAGAGCTCAGGATTGCCTAGGGCATGCAGTACGAGGGGCAGAACACTGTTGATCATGACAGGGTGGTCAGCCAGCCATTCAGACAGAGCTCCTGGGGGAAGAAGGAAGAGGGGAGGATATCTGAGGCAGGCCAGACTGGCTTTGTACCAGGTCCCTGTAAAGTAGGCAGAACTTCTGGCAGGATCAAGTTACAGCCCTAGTACTGAACAGGGAAATATGCATGCACATGCTCAAACAGGAGCCTTATAGCTGAGAAGCAGGAAGGAGTTCCTCAGAAGAGGCCTAGCACTGCTGTTCCATTGACAGCAAACTAGCCTTACTGAATTGCAGCTCAGAACATTGTAGGAAGGACCCCTAGATGTGCCAGGACAGTTAGCTGGCTGCAATGCTGATTGTGTGGGCATGTGTGTCTCTTCCATTTTGGACAGGAACCAGCAGGCTGACTGTGGCTGGGGAAGGTGCCTGTGGCTCTGGAAGTGTGGTCATGGGTGTGTGCCAGGTCTCACCGATGGTGAACATGACAGTATCCGCCAGCTGCACGTTGCTGATGCTGATCCGTGGAATGAGGCCAATGAGGCCAGGCACCACATCAGAATAGTTGACGTCGATGGTCTCTGCGATGGACTGGAAGCCGTAGAGCAGGGCCTCTGTGTGCTGAGGAAAGAGGTGCCACTGGCTTGGCTGAGGAGGAGGGTATGACAGTTCTGGGAGGGCAGAGGGAATCAGGCTTGGGAGATACCTGCCAGGAGTAGGGCTCCTCTGAGCTGGTGAGCAAGCGGCCCAGCTTGTCATAGAGGTTGCTGAGCAGCTCGGCCCCCAGCATCTCGTACACATACATGAGCGTATCTGAGATGTCCACCCTAAGAAGCAGAGGAAGACCTTATACGCTGCCCGGATCCTGCCCTCAAGCCCAGGAGCCCACCCCAGTTCCCTCACAACCCTGCAAAAGGGCCTAGAGAATAGAGAAAGGAGCCCCAGGATTCAGGAAGCCTGGCTTTGGGCTCCTCCCCTTATTGCCTTCATTAGTTCAGGACTCTATTTAGAGGTAGGACTGGCCTGCTGCCATCACCTGTAAATCCGGAACTGCTCCTTCTCATCTGAGGACCAGAATCCGTATTCCTCGTCAGAAGGAAACTGGGCCTTGTGCAGAAGCACATCCACCAGCTGGAAGTAGACTGGCCGGTATACCTGCTGGTACACGGCCTGCTTCTCTGCCTCAAAGGACAGAATGTCATCCTGAGACAGCCAGGGAAGGAAGTTAGCCACTAGGCGCCAGGCCCAGAAGCCCATGATCTACCTTCTATCATTACAGCTCAATCCAACAAGAGGTCACATAGACACACCTGCAGCGTGTACCAGAAGGTGAGGGTCAGGGAACTGGTGGTCTCGTTGACAGGGTAGTGGCCAGGGATGCCAGTACAGAACATTATCATGTTGACAAGGGCCAGGAAACTCTGCCAGTGCTCCACTTGGTCCAGCAAGGCCCTTGGAAGGAAGACGTATAGTAAGGTCGTTCCACTTCCCCCAACAGGGCTTCATAACTCTACCTCTTAGAGGGCCCTGCTATCCCCCCAACCGCCACCCCCAGGGGCTCTACTCCTCACCGGGAGTGGTTCTCGCCCAGGGCCACAGCAATTCGACAGATGCCATGGGAGGTCTCCATGTCCCCATTCTGCACTGCCTGTCGCAGTTGATCTTGCAGTCCCAGCACCAGCGGGATGAGTTTCAGGAGTGTGTTCACATACCTGGAGGCATGAGGTTAAGGAGACTCGTTAGAGCTGTCTGCCCAGCCCCCACCAGCTTTGAGAGAAAGAGACATTCTCTCTGTCTTCCAGCAAAGCCCCTGCCCCACATTAAACCCAAAGCAAAAAAGAGGTCAGGGCCTACATGGTAGCTTTGATGCTGCCCATGTTGGGAAAAATCTGAGGTCAGGGACCTACCTCCAGGAGAACTCTGGGAAGGAAGTATGAGAAGGTCAGTGTTGAATGGGTTGAATTATGTCCTCTAATTAGACTTACAGTTGATGCTGGCATGGGTTAAGACTTCTGGGGAAGTCGAAATGAGATACATGTATTTTGCATGTGGGAAGGACATAAATGTTGGGGGGCTAGAGGGCAGACTGTAACGGGCTGAATTGTATCCTCCCCGCAAAAGATATGCTGAAGTCTTAACCTCTAATACCTCAGAATGTAATCTTATTTGGAACAGGGTCATTGCAGATGAGGTCATAGAGTAGGGGGGAGCTCTAATACAATACAACGGGTCTCCTTATAAGAAGACAACCACATGAAGACAGACTTACAGGGAGAATGACATGTGATGACGAAGGCAAAGATTGGAGTCATGCAACTGCAAGCCAAGGAACAAGACTGCCAGCAAACCACCAGAAGCTAGGAGGGGGTGAGGAAGGATTCTCCTACAGGTTTTTAGAGGAAGCCAACACCTTGACTTTGGACTTCTAGCCTCTGCCAACAGTGAGACAATAAATTTCTGTTGTTTAAAGCTACCCAGTGTGTGGTACTTTATTATGGCCCCTCTAGGAAAACTAATATAGACAGTGTTAAGAGAGACTGAACCAAGATAGGAAACAGAAGAGTTAATACAGGCTCAGGAGCCCTGATAAAGACTTCAGGAGGCACCCACAGCATCAATCCCCACTGTCCACTCCACTCCCTATCATCAAATCCAAACTCCTATGTACTCTGGTGGCAGTATGAAGGGAGAGCAGTAGACAGTGAACCCGGAGACAGCTAAGAGGCAAAATGGTCAGGACTTGATAACTGACTGGATACAACAATGGGGAAGAGTTAAGGACAACTCTCAGGTTACTGGCTGAACAATTAAGTAGATGGCGGAGCTATTTACTGAGGTCAGGAGGAATGGGTGGAGGGGGATAGTAATAAATTTAATGGGAGGCCAGAAGGTGGTAAATTCAGCATTAGGCATGTTGAATCAGAGGTACCTGGTGAGATGTGCAAACAGAAGTGTCCAGAGAGTTGGATATGAAAACCTGAAGCCCAAGGGAGAAGTTAGAGCAAGAGACAGTCATGGGCAAACAACTGGTAATTGAAGCTATGGGAGGAGATGAGCATTGCCCAGGAAGAAAGCACTGAATGAGAGAAAAGAGGGTCCAAGTCAGAGTCCTGAGGCACAATGATCTTAAAGGGGGAGCAGGGGAAGCACAGTATACAAAGGAGACAGAGAACACTAGCTCCACTCACTGGACCCCTCCCCAGCAGCCTGCTCTGTGGAGATCAGACTAATCAGAGGAAGTGATACTCTCGGCAGGGGTACTGAGGGGATCAGATGCTTGAAACCCGTCTGCTACCAATCATAGTGTCACCAGAGCAATCTATGGAGAGCTAGGGGGACTGATGGGCCAGAGGAGTTCTATCTGCATTTGCCCTAAGCAGGCTGCTAGGCAGGCAGGTAGCCTCATAACCTCAGGGGTAGGATGAAAACAAGAGGCAACCGGCCCAGGATGTTGGCTTTCTCCAAATCCCCATTCTGGTGGGACAACGTGTCCATGCCAGGATACCCCCAACTCAGAGACAGCCCTAGAGGGTGCTGCCTGGAGACAGCTGGGATAGCTTCAGTCTCACGACCCTGACACAGGCTGCACCACCAGACAATGGGCACCTTCAGGCCAGACTCTGGCACAAAGAGCAGGGGCAGGGCCAAAGCCCTGGCCTGCAAGCTCCCTAGCAGCTGAGATGGGGGCAGGAGGTAGTGCTCTATCCCCAAAGCATCCCTACCAAGGCTTTCTCACACCTGCCAAAGTTCATGTACACAGCAGGTACTCAATCTTCACTGAGTTCTTGATCTGTCATATTTAAGTTGCATAATAGGTTCAATCATGGATACCATGGTCCAGAAGGGCTCAGAGTATTACTCAAGGTCATATAGCAACTTAGAGACAAATGCCAGGCTGGGGCAGCCACTTCTACTGCTGCAGGACTGCTCTTTCAGCGCCCAACCTGAATTTCTCCAAAGGATCTATGCAAATCTCAGTCCATATCTCAAATTCTAACTGATGGGAGTCCCCAAGAACCTGTCTAATTCACCTTCTCTCTTCCTCCAGCCCCCAGTGAAAAGCTTTTCCAGGATTAAAAACATATTTCAGGAAAAACAAAATCAAGGGAGAGAGAGCCAAGCAAGCAGTAGCAGCTTCTGGAAGAGTGGGAAAGAGGGGACCTGAGTGCAAGCTCAGCCAAGGGGAGAGCCAACATCAGGACACTTGGGGAAGACAGTGGCCGGATGACCCAAGAGTCAAAACCACAGGTGACTTTCTCAAGCCAAAGTCTAGGAGACTAGACTAAACAGAGCGAGGCCCAAACTCTGACACCAGGCTGGGTGCAGCCCACCAATAGGAGGAAACCCTAGATTTCCTACCACCTGGGCACCTATTCCTGAAAACTGTGAGTGGACAGAAGAGCAGGTCTGAGGCTTCCAGAGGTTTGTAGATTTGGGGGAGGGAGAGAGAGAGGATATCTTTAAGGCCATGGCTGAGACTGGGTTCAAGAGGCCTAGTTCCATTGGTCAGCTCAAGCTGCCGGGGCAGGGCTGCTGGGGCTTGCTGGCTGCCACTCACACTGAGCCCAGCCCAGACCTGCAATTAGAGCTCCGGGAGGAGAGCTGAGAAAATGGGGAGAGTTGCTAAGCAACCATGGGGGCTGCAGCCAATGGGCGCTCAGGAGGCTGTGGGTTCCCTCACTGGCTCCTTGTTCGCTCATTCGTTCAGAGAAGAAACATCAATTACCTGCCAAAGCCCTCGAGACTGGCTGGGCGGGTAAACCTGGGTGTATCCAAGGACACCCCACATCAACCATGCAGTGGCCCCAGGCAATTCCCCTTAGCCACCAACTGTCTGAGCCCAGCCGGCACTTGAGCTTCAGGCTGCCGAGGAAGGCTAGACCTGGGACTTGGTACCCACCTTAAGTTGGAAAGCCTGGGAAACCACAGGAAAGACAGACTAACTACCAATGCAGTAACAATACCAAATTCTATCAAGTACCGTTTATGGGGTGTACAGGAACCATGCAATACCCTTCACAGACCTTCTCTTCTTTGATCCTCATACCAAAATATTCTTTATAGAGTACCAGGAGCCCTGTGCACATTATCCTATTTAAGCCTTTACAACTCTGTGAGGTCGATATGATCACACCCATTTTACTGATGAAGAAACTGAGGCTTAAAAATGACTTACCCAAGGTCTCAGATTTAGCGAGCGGACCATCTGGGATTCAAACTCAGACATGACTAATGTCAAGGCTGGAGCCATTAACCACTCTCTGACGCTATCTCTTTCAATGTTTTCCCCTCCAACTCTGCTAAGGGTTTCTAAAGCCCCATCTCTCGTTCTTTTTTTTTTCTTTTCTTTTCTTTTTTTTTTAAGTAGGCTCCATGCCCAGTGTGGAGCCCAGCTTGGGGCTTGAACTCACGACCCTGAGATCAAGACCTGAGCTGAGATCAAGAGTCAGACACTTAACCGACTCAGCTACTCAGGTGCCCTAAAAGCCCTATCTCTGAAGTGTTAGTGTCTCCAGTTTTGCCCTGGCCAATCCAACTTATACTAAAAATCTCATTATGCCATTTTCTCTGCTTGAAATCTTTTACTATCTTTACATCCTCCTCAGGATGAAGACCAAAATCTTAAGCCTGGCTGACAAGGTCTTGCATGATCTGGGCCCAGACCTCCCACAACTGGCCCTTAAACCCTGCTGTTTAATCACCAGCACTCACCAGGCTCCCTCAACACCTTTTCCTTGCTCAGGCTCTTTAAAGCACACCTCCTCTGGGAAGCCTTCCACAACCCTAAGATGGGGTTAAATGCCTCCTCTGGGCTCTCACAGCCCTCCGCTTTCTCCATTATAGCATTTATCTCATTGAGCATACCTGCCCTTTCGTGTGTCTATTAGACTGTGAGCTCCTGGCTTGCTGAAGTCAGCCTATTCATCTTTGTGCACCTGGTGCTCAGCACAGGGCCCAAGATACAAACAGGTGCTCAACAAACATCTGCTGCACCAACAGCTCACTACACTCACCTTCTTTCAGGTCCTTGTAGGTACTATGGTGCTGCCCCCCACAGGCCTTTGCCCCTGCTTTGGTTCCTGAAACCTGGAACACTCACTCCTCCCCTGACCTTCCCCACCCCACTCCCGCCTCTCAGCACTCAGGCAACTCCTACTTCTCATCTGTTCAAAAACTAATGAATGCTACCAAATGCTGCCAGGCAGAGTGTGACAAAATAAAATGACACAGTGCCTGTCCTCACGGAGCTGAGAGACCAATGGGGAGATATAAGTTAATTTACAATGAAACCGTGTTACAGGCTAAGAAGGAAAACCACCACGAGCTTTGAGATAAAATAATTGAGAAGACCACTTGGTCTTAAGAATCACTGATGGCTTTCCTAAGAAAGTGAAGTTTCAGTTGAGGTAGAGATGATGTGCCAATGGTTCAGAGGCTAGAAGAAGCATGGGACAGTCAAGGAACTGAAAAGATTGTGTGAGAGTGAAGAAAGGAGAATGGCATGAGAAGAGGCTGGGGATTAGCCATACTGTGCAGCATCTTTGTGAATCACATTAAGGATTCTGAACTTCATCCTAAGAACTGTAAAAAGCCACTGAAGGGTTCTGAGCAGAAAGGACAAACTGGATCCCTTCAAAAGATCACTCTGGCTACTGGGTGTGCAATAAAAGGTACAAGAGTAAAAACCAAGGGACTGGTGAAAAAGCTCTGCAGTAATTTGGGGAGAGAGATGATGACAGCTTGGACTAGGGTGGCGGCAGTGGAGATGGAAAAAATAGATTTGCAATATGGTCAAGAGCAGAACAGTCAGGACTTGGCGACTGACTGGTGGAGAGAAAGAGAAGAAAGAGTCAAATATTGTAATGAATAATTCGTTGGATGGTTAGTGGTCTGTCTCCCTCTCTGAACCATAAGGACGTCTTGTTTGCTTCCTTGTGTATCTCCAGCATAGGACCACGTATGCAGTAGGCACTCAAACAGTGTTTACTGAATGGATGGATGGATGGATGGTTGGACGGATGGCCAAGCAAGCTGTCCTTCTCTGGGAAGGTGGGCACCAGCTCACCTCTGGGCATCAGGCTGCGAGATGGCATTGACAATGGCCTCCACACTGCTGTCGAAGAGCTCCGAGTCCTGCAGCGCAGCAAAGGCGGCCTGAATGAGCGCCTCGCAGTCCTGCAGTGGCACCTCCAGCTGCACCCAGCTGGAAAAGCACTTAAGCACCTTCTGACGCACACAGCTGGGTGAGCTGGGCTGCTGTAGCAGCTGCTCGAGCAACGGGAAGACAGCCCCGCACTCCACTGCCAGGCTGGCCCGCACCAGGCCTTTGCGATACTGAGGCAGACGACTTGTCTGGAACTCCTCTGGCAGCACTGTCAGCAGCTCGAGTAGGGCCAGGCAGCGGCCCTGACCATCCACCGGTGAGTCCTCAGCCTGGAAGAGCCGTACCATATCCGCCACAGCACACGGCCAAGCGTCAGGCATCATGCTGAGAGCCAGGGAGGCCAGTGCCACACACAGCCGAGTCAGCACAATCTTGGAGCCACTAGCAAAGTGGGTGATCTGGGTGAAGAGCTGTGCCTTTAGACTTTCATACTGGTCAGTGGGTATGTCACTCCAGTAGCGAGAGATCTTGATGTGCAGGGCACTGGCCCCAAAGTACTGGATCTCAGGCACCTTGTCAGGCTGCAGTAGCTGCCAGCTGAAGTGCCAGGCCTGTGGGGAGACCTGAGCCTGCATCAGCCACTTCTGCGCCAGGTTCTTGTTCTCAATGTTGGGATCGTAGTAGAGCTGGTGCAGCGCCTGCAGGACAGCACAGGACTGAGCAGGTGCTGGGCACTCTGGAGCCTGCCAGAGCCCAGAACAGAGGGCATGACTTGGTCCTGCAAGTCTGCTCTCTCTGACTGAGGGGCTGAGCAGGAAGAGCCCAGGGCTCTGCAGTGTGTCCTGGGCCCGGGCCCTACTGATACCTTGAGAGCCTCAACTGTGCCCGTGCTCTACCATATTCTTTTCTCCTTATAGCAAAACATTGTGGGTTCAGAGAGTGAACCTCCACAGGAAAGCAGAAAAAGAGGAGGCTGAGCTCCCCAAAGGGAGGCACTTGAGGTAAAGGACAAGGCCCAGGTTGAAGGAATGGCTCCACAGGGATGAAGCTAAGGCTGAGAAGAACATGGAACAGCCTGAGGGGCCTTGACCCTCCCAGGCACCACTGCTCCCATCAACTCCAAGAGTTCTATTCAGCTCTCCCAGGATCATCCCTAGGTCACTCCAGATGCTGGCACCAAAGCCAGTGAGAAATCTGAGCAGGACTAAGACTTTGCCAGGCAGCCGTAGGCCAGAGACATACTGGAGGGGAGGGTGAGAACACCCCTCAGAGAGCACACATGAGGGTCCAAAAAGCTGGTCAAGAAGTCTTGGCTGGCAGCCCTGGCAAATGCCTCGTCAGGAGCTCTCAACTAGCCAAATCCCCAGGATCCCAATTCCATAGGGACTTCACACAGTAAGAAAACAGTGGTTTGTCTCCCTGGTAGCACATGGAAGAGTGCGCCACCACGCCAACACTGCCTAGCCCCAGGGGGTGGAACAGTCAGGTCAGGACTCTGACCCCCTAAGCAGGCTCCATTCAAGTAGGCTTAGCTCAATCCGTACTTCTGACAGCAAGTTCTAGCTATTGTCCCTTGTTTGGCCCCTCAAGGATGCTGAGGCAGGCAAAGAAAAGAAGCAGAAGGGTTGCATTCTTAGCATTTGGTATGGCAAAAAGGGCTCAAGAATAACAAATGAGTATCTGCAACCACTCCTTGCTTTCCAGCAAGGTAGCCCTATCTCCCCATTCATCCCAGCGGGGAGGCATTTCTGCATCCCAGGCCTCTGGGGCAGAACACAGAAAAGAACCAGAGAAGCAGTTCAAAAAAGATGGCCTGGGCAGTGGGAAAGCCTGGGATGGCCATGGTAGGAAGCTGTGTGGGCAGGAGAGCACGGAAAGGACCCTGAGGCTGCTGGGAGGACTGAACCCCTTGGACCCAGGACAAAACAAAGGGGGCCGGCCCTTCCTGCCTGCCCAGGACTGGTCTGGCCTCCATCCAATATAAGAAGGACCTTCTCCAAGAAAGAGTGAAAACAACCCAGACTGTTTTAGTTTCAGGTTATTTTCTGAGCCCCTGGGTCACAAAACAGGTCCAGGATGGCTCAGCATCTGTATGGTTCCTGAGGACTGAGCTGTAGGTCTCCTGGGTTCCTGGTTTCTTACTGCACTGCTCATGCAGTTCCCATGGAGCTGGAGAATAGCCAGTCTGGCTGTAGGTCTAGGCCATCAGCACTCTGGAGGGACCATCCCAAGACCCTAGAGTATCCACAGAGAACCCATGTCTAAGGAAAGCCAAAAATAGCCCATTAGGACACCACTACATTGCTGTCCACGCCTGCCCAGAGAGACAGCAAATGCCAGGTGCTCTGGGGGCACCATCCCAGCGGGCACCCAGCCCAAGCCTGGGCTCTGGCATTAGTGTCAGTCCCCAGAACTTCTGCTCTGTCACTGGACTGCCCACCCCAGGGCCCTCGTACCTTCTCCACGTTCTCCACAGTGAAGTCCAAGGCTGGTGCTGCTCCAGCCCCTGCAGCCCCCGGCTGTTCCTCCCGCCGCTCCATCTTTGCTCCCTCCCTAGCAGGGAGGTGGACCCTGACCTGTCTCCTGCCCCAGCCCCTTGGCTGCTGGCCCCCTGCTAGACCCCGGCTTGGGTGCCCAGGAAGCGGTGGGGTGACAGGGGGCCCAGGGCGGGCATGACTGCCGAGGCCTCCCCACCTCGGTCGGGAATGGGGCGCTTGCCAGAGGCCAAAAAGGGTGCTCTTAAGGGGAGTTCAACTGAGGGGGACTCCGAGGAGGGAGCCGTCAGTGAAGAGTTCGCAGGCGGGGGTCCTGGTGGTAGGTTACGGCTCTGTCCCCAGAATCTATGAGAAAGGAGTCATAGGGAAGGCAGGCCTGTGGGGGAAACCGAGGCCCTGGCCCCTGAGAGGTCACAGGGTCGATGGCCTGTACCCACAACAACCTCGTCTGAGTGAGCTCTCCGGTCCTACGAGGAGGTCACGGGGTGGGGGGTGACGAGGGAGAGAGCCCTTCGCGGGTTACGGAGGCGTCCGACCAGGCGCAGGGGTGCAGCTTCGCGAGTCTGGGGCGAAGAGTCCGTAGAGTTGAGGGTCTGTGGCAGGTCCTCTCCGCTCGGCCTGGCCCGCGCTCTTCTCACCGCCCGGCTCCGGCCCCGCTACCGCCGCTGCCGCCGCCCCAGTGACTGACAGGCGAGCCGGCCCGGCCGGGACGGGGCGGGGACCTCAGCGAGGCGCGGGCTGCCCCCAGCGCCTGTTCCCAGCACGGCCGACTCAGGCGCCGCCCTCCCCCCGCGCCTGCCCTGGCCCGGCCCGGCCCGGCACAGCCCGGCACGGCCCAGCGGAACTGCGCAGAAACTCATTCCGGGTCCCTGGTCCTGTCCCCGCGCCGGCCCGCGCGCCCCCGAGCAGGCGACGGAGCGGCGCGCCGCTCGAGGCCCCCGCTGAGCCAAGGCCCCGCCGCTGTGTACCCTGGGAAACGTAGTCCACGTTGCTCCTAGCGGGAGGGCGGCGCCTTGCGGCAGAGGTCGGGAGCACGTGGGCTGGGGACCCGCGGAGCCCCGCCGGCCCCAGACCTACTGTCGGCGACAGGGTTAGACCCGCGGGAGGCGCTGATGAGCAGCTCCCTAGGAGGATGTGACCGAAGGGGCCGGTGGTTGGAGCTGGGATGCCGGCAAGAGGGTAAAGTGTGTGTTGGGGGTTGGCGGGGAGAAACAGGTCAGTCTGGTGCCGCGCTGCCGGCGCCTCCTGGGGCCCAGGAAGGGGGCGGTCTGGGCAGAAGGCATCAGCACCGCCCAAAGAAGAAAGGGGGCTTGGCGCGCCCCAGGAATAAAAAAAGACGGCTCTCCGGAATGCCCAGTGAGCAACCAGGAACCACGTACCATGGACAGTACTCGGAGAATTTCCTAAGGTGCTTGGAAGTAACTTCTCTTTATGAGTAATTAGAGTAAGAAGAGCTCACATTTAAGTGCCAGGAACAAGCAGTACTTTGCCTACCTTGGTCCGATTCTCTGGACAACTCTGAGGTGGGTTTTTTAGTCACATTTTCAGATGAGGAAACAGAGGTTGAGGAAGGTTGAGCTTTTCTTGTCCAGGGACACACAGCTAGTGTAGCAGAGACCAGCCACAGATCTGGTCGGCCGCAGACCCCAGCAGCCCCTACCCCTTACACTTCCACTTGCCCTTATATTAACTCTTATTTCTAAAGTTTATTTATTGAAGTAATCTCTACACCCAACGTGGGGCCCAAACTCACAACCCTGAGATCAAGAGTCTCATGCTCTTCTGACTGAGCCAGCCAGGCACCCCAATCTTTTATTAACTCTTGCCAGCTATCCCAGCAGGGGAAAAAATAATCAAAAGGGAAAGGAGGACCTGTGTACTTGTATTCGGTGGAGGAAGCTGACATTGGCAATAGCTGCTAAGCTGAAGAATGTGAGTGTAGGCTTCCCTGAGGAGGAGAAACTTGGTCTAGGCTTGAAGAATAGGAGAAGCGGGTGAGGAGGGGGGTTCGATTAGCTCGGAAGCAAAAATCTAGTAGGAATCTAGTCGTTCAACAAATCTTAAGTGGGGTTTCAAGTGGGCAGTGATGATTGGATTTGCATTTTACAAAAACCTATCTGTAGGATGTAGGATAAATTGAAGGAGTGGTCTTTTCATCATTTGGGGGTGCAGGGAGAGAACCCCTGGTTTTCATCAGCTTCCCTAAGGACTCTACAACCCCCAAACAGTTTAAGAACCACTCCTGTGTACAAAAAAGGGACTTCACATGGTGCAGACGCTCCTAGGTCTTTTTTCTGATCCTCAGCTTTCTACACAGCCTCTCCTTTCCTGGATGAGACCTCAGTGGGTCGGCCAGTGCACATACACTCTGTCCCAGGGGAAATAGGACCATCCTTGGACAAGAGAGGAGGAAAGCCATTGGCAGGTGCAGGGGGCAGCACATGGAACCCCACACCTCAGTTCCTGGATGAACCAAATGTCGAGGGAAGTTTTGGGTACTCCCTGAAGCTGGAAAAACTGCCACTTCAAAGCTGCCTGTAGTTTTCCGTCTTACAAGAGGTGGTGACTTGGGCGCCTGGGTGGCTCAGTTGGTTAAGCGACTGCCTTCGGCTCGGGTCATGATCCTGGAGTCCCGGGATCGAGTCCCACATCGGGCTCCCTGCTGAGCAGGGAGTCTGCTTCTCCCTCTGAACCTCTTCTCTCTCATGCTCTCTATCTCTCATTCTCTCTCTTTCAAATAAATAAATAAAATCTTGAAAAAAAAAAAAAAGAGGTGGTGACTTGAAAGCCCTTTGGAAGAGACCATACCTTGGTTCTGGGAAGCCCACTCAAACGGGCAATGTAGTTTTACACATGTGAAACAAAGACTACGGTCAAGAATGGAGATACCAGGGGCGCCTGGGTGGCTCAGTCAGTTAAACATCTGCCTTCCGCTTGGGTCATGATCTCAGAATCCTGGGATGGAGCCCCACGTCGGGCTCCCTGCTCAGTGGGGAGCATGCTTCTCCCTCTCCCTCTGCCTGCCGCTCCCCCTACTTGTGCTCTCTATTTCTCTGTCAAATAAACAAATAAAATCTAAAAAAGAAAAAAAGAAAAAAAAGACTGGAGATAACAGAACCACCTGTGGCCCCCGGGGTGGAAAGTGCTCTGCCTGGTGAGGTCATGTGACAGTGACCTCTGCTAAGTTGTAGGCAGAGAACTGCAGCTCTGGAGCTTGTTCCTTTGGGGGGAAAGTGGCTTTATCATTATTTTTTTTAAAGAGGGATTTGGGTTCTTGTAGGACTGTGTTCTTCTTAGAGAAGGTATTGTTTCATCTGGGACTTTGTGAGATGTTGGGCATAATCTCTCTGGGGCCCAAAATGCAGCCTTGAGTTGGAGGGACCCTGCTTGCTCAAGGACCAGCAATCAGGACTGTTGAGAGCCAGCACCTTTGGCTTGGGTTCTGACCTGGCTCTCTTGCTGAGAGCAGTGTCAGAGGTGGCTTCAGTCTGTTGTCTCCCTTAAGTGGCTCTGAGAGCAGAGATGACCACTGAAGGGCAGGGCCTGGAGGGCTTGGGGGCTAGGCCAGGTTTTCAAGTCTTTCCAGTAGGGTCTCCCTGGGCCCAATGACCCTGCTTGACGGGATGTCCCCCTTCATCCTCAACCAGGGCCAGGGCCCGGGCCCAGACCTCCATGAGGCATCTGCAAACTGAATGGCGCAGGTGCCATTTTCTTCTGGTGGGCGTGGGAAGGGCTGGAGACTGAGGATCCTCAATCAGTTTGGAGGCAGAGAGAGGGGGCAAGCGGGTGTTTGAAGGCAATGTGAGAGCACCAGAGTTTGGGGAGCATCTAGAACTGGGGCAGTGAACATGGAAGAGTGGAAGCAGAGGCCTGTTTCTCCTCCTTGACCCAGAATGCTCACAGCCCTCACTTTTGCCTGCTCCTCACTCTAGCGTGGGTGAAGGGGGCACTTGTGCCAAAGCAGCCAGGCACTTAGACAGTTTGGAAGGAATTTTGGTTAGCAGTGGCAGATGCCCAAGGGGTCCCACCCTCAGCTGGCTCACTCCCACGGTGCTCTCATGCAGCCCTGGCTGCAGCTACTGCCCTTGTGCTCACAGCTGCCAAATCCATCTCCAGCCCAGCCCTCCCTCCTCAGCTCCAGACCAGCATATCCCTTCCTCCCGACAGCCCCTCTGGACACCCCAGGGTTCCTCACACTGGGCATCCTTTCCAAACGCAGGCCCTCATCTTATTTCCAAAGAACATCATATTGGACAAATTCTTAGGACCCAGGAAACAGAGTTTCACAGGGACTTGCAGGAAAGCTCAAAGGGATTGCACTGACTTTTGCTAGATGACTCGGGGACACTGTGGAAGGCCAGGGTCAGCACTAACCTCTCCTTCCTTCCAAATGCAGGTGTGTGCCTCTTAGCTTCTTGTCCTTTTTCATACCATCTGTCAAACTGAACTTCCATAATTACTGTTTGTCTCTCCTGAGTTAAGCTTAAGGGCAGGGATCATGTATCATGTCCCTTTCACTTCTGTATCTCTGGTGTCTACCTAGTGTCTGACATATAATAGGTAATTAATAAATACTTGTTGAATGAATAAATGAACATCCTTGTTCATCACTCAAAATGCAGGTCCCTCTGGGGGGCCCTCAGTCCTTTCCTGCCCTTTTAGTCCCTTGATGCTCTCTGCTTCATTCCCCCGAAACCAGCTGCACCTTCTTCCCCTCCTGCAGCCTTTTCAGATGCTCTTTTGCCCTGGGTTGCCTCATGGATTGTGGGCAGTGAGGTCCCCATGCTGGATTGTCTATAAGCAGAGGCAGTGTATGCACCTGTCAGGGTGCCCTGGAGGGTGGGACACAGATGAGTGACTGTGGGATGGGGCAATGTGTGGTTGTCTGTGTCATTACACAGTAAATGAGAACCCCCAGAATGTCTGATGTGACAAGGGTAGGGTTCTCTCCACCCGTAACTCCAGGTCCCAAGTGCTGGGGACGGTGCAGGGGGCTGTGAGCTGGCCTGTCGGGACTGGAGAACACACCTGTGCCACCCACTCTGCCTGTATTCTTGCCCCATGTCCCAGAGCTGCTGGGTGGCGGCAAGCAATGGACAATCCAGGCCAGGGCCTGTGATTGCTGAGTCAGCCTGAAGTGAGTGGGATGGCCAGCGCGTGCTCCCCATCCAGCTGCTGTTACCCATCCAGCCCCGCTGCCCAGGAAAGGATCTGACAAACCACGGAAGTAAATAAATAACTTAGGAATAATAAATAGGGGTGCGGCTCCCACGAGTGAGTACAGGCCCCCGCGGGCAATGCGACTGCAGTGTGTCTCCTCCGATTCCGCGCCCCCCCCCCGCCAGGGCCTTGGGCTGAGGCTTGGGACCTCGGGCACGGCTGGGTTCTCCCGAGGACGAGTCCTGGGTCCGCGGCCGAGTCAGTGTCAGAGTCTGTGAGAAGCGGGTCCTAAGGTCTCCACGGCTGAGGTGTCTGGCGTCTGCAGGGCGAGGACCCTGGCGCGGCAGGTCAGCCGTCCCAACATCTCTCGAGGGCTCGTGGCCATCACTCCCCCCCTCCCCCGGGGCTGAGGCCTCCATTTCTGGCCGAGGCCGTCCCCCCATCCCCCGACCCCCGGGCTCTCCTGCGAGAGGGCCCCGCGGTGCGAGGAGCCGCGGGGAAGGGTGCAGTCCGCCAAGCCCTGGAGCGAGGTCTCAGCCCAGGCAGCCGCAGGCAGTGGCCGACAGGCGGTCCACGGTCCTCCAGGTGCTGTTGACGTCCATGAAGGAGACCGCCTCGTAGCGCGTGGGGCGGCAGCACGGCTGGCTGACCGGCCGCGAGCCCGGGGGCGGCCGCAGGGCCCCGGC